CTTCATACATTTTAACCCATTAGAATACAGTTATAAAAGCACGATAATGGCAAAGGGACAAACAGACCAACGGGACAAAATAGAGAACCTAGAAACAGACTCACACATATATAAAACTTGACCTCTGCCTGAAATGACATACACCTTTGTGGAAAGGGTTCAATACATGACATGGTACAGGTGGATGTTCACATGGGAAAAAAGGTGAACTAATAGTTCCCTTCCTCATAAGTTGTATAAAAATAAAGTCTAGGTAGATTTTAAGAAAATGAAAAGTAAAAGTTACAATTTTTAGAAGAAAATTATATTAAAACATCTTTATGAGGTCAGCCAGAAAAGAATTACTTAAAATTATACAAAAAGCGCAAACTAAAAAAATAAGTAAATCTGATTACATTACAATTAAAACTTCTACTCAAAAAACATCATCAATAACCAAGACTAAGATATTGACTACATACCAAATTGAAATCTAGAATATGTAAAGAATCCATATAAACCAATAAAAAAGATAAACACCCCAACAAAAAACATGAATAAAGGATATGAACAGGCAAGCCACAGAAGAAAAAATCCACATAGTCGATATCATATAAAATAATAAATACCTTTACTAGTAATCAAGGAAATGAAAATTATAATAATGTACCAATTCACACCAGATTACCAAAATGTAAAGAGTGTGCCCATACTACAACTTTACATACATGGTGAACATTGACATAATTGCAGAAAGTTCTACTGGGCAGTCTAAACCATGCATTGTCTGTACCATCAATTTTGGTGCATTAAAGTTACAGAGCTTTGCATTTTAACATAGATACTTCCTATTCAAAACTTGAATTTTCAGCTATGTCAGGAGGCTGTATCTATCCACCCAGCTGCAATCCATGCTCTTATGGAATTGGTTTAACATGATATTAGAACCCATGTACAGCATCACGAGATAAAAATAAGTTTAAAAAACCCCACTCTTCTTTTTAAAGGCTGGTAATAAAATACTACCAAGTGCTTCCCCTGTTCAGAGACCTTTGCAGGACTTAAAAAGAGTAGGTCAAAACCACTTAATGTACCTCAGCAGTAACATATACCTTATAAGTAGAAGAGTATTAAGCTTGAAGAAACCGAGGAAGAAAATTTCTTTGGAGAGAACTGTTTGAAAGCTGTGGCATTTTCTTTCTCCAACAATAGGGGAGGGAGGAGTATGTTTGCCTCACCCTTAATCTAGTAAGGACTTGAAGAATATAACTTGATTTATGTCCACTACAGTTTGGAGGACACAGAGAACTTGGAACCTGATTTGCACCCAGAAAAACTCTATCAGTGAAAGGCAGGCAGAGGCAGAATGTGGCAGCAGTGAAGAGGTGCACAGGGAGTGAAGAGATCAAGGTGCAGGTCTCGCTGTATGCATGCATGCATGCATGCATATGCGCGCGCGCGCACACACACACACACACACACACACACACACACACACACGTTCCACAAGCCAGATATGGACTGGACTCTCTGGATATGAAGAGGGCTAGAAAGAGGGCTTAGAAAGATGGCTTTCTATTAGCATCAAGGTAACCTCAGTAAAAAGAGATTGGAGGTGCACTGTGGGGCTGGAGGGTGGGAGTGAGAAGGAGGTATGTTGAACAATTTGTTGGAAAGAGGTACTGCTGCCATTGAGGAAATTATAGTCAGGAGTCCCTAGCTAGGGCATCGCCAAGGAAATCAAAAATGTACCAAGGACAGGAAGAATTGGTCTTTGGAATTTGCCACATGTAGAGGGCAATACTATCAGAGTACATCTTAATCTGTTAGGGCAAACTATTTTTGTCCTCTGTATCTCCTTCCTTCCTCACTGCTCCACCCAAGGAGCCAAAGATGGCCTAGTTGTTGAGTGAGAGGGTGGTGAGAGAGAGGGAAAAATGGTAACTAAGAAAGAAAGAAAAAGCTGAGCATGATTCTTTTGCCACTCAAAACTTCTAGCCTGAGCAGTGAAGCAGACATTAGTTGGGGGCGAGATCTCCCATTTAATGAAGTTCCTAGTTTTCCCTACTACATGTGATCAGACTTTTTGAAAACTCAATGAGACTATCATTGACTCTCAAAAATAAAAAGGATAATAAGGGCATATTATGAACAACATTATGCCAATAAGTTTGACAATTTAGGTGAAATGAATGAACTCCTTGAAAGACACAAATTACCAAAGTTCATTCAAGAATAATCTGAATAACCCAATATCTATTGTTCAATTTCTATTAAAGAAATTGAAATTGTAGTTTAATGCCTTCCCACAAAGAAAACTCCAGTCCCAGATGACTTCATTGGGGAATTCTATCAAACATTTAGGAAGAAATAATACCAATTTTACACAAATTCTTTCAAAGAACTGAAGAGGGAAGGGAATACTTCCTGACTCTTTCTATGACCTTATTATCTTCATTGTGGTGATGGAGTCATGAGTATGTACATGTCAAAACTTATTAAATTGAGTACTTTAAATATGTACAATTTCTTGTATGTTAATTATACTACAATAAAGGTGTTAAAACAGCTGAATCAGTACTTAAAGACAGTCATAGCATTCACAATGCTTATGTTAGAAAAAGAAGCTATCAAATTAATGATCTAAGTTTCTACCTTATGAAACTAGGAAAAGAGAAAATTAAATTCAAACTAGCAGAAGGACAAAAATAATAAAATAAAAGAAGAACAAATGAAACCGAGGTTTTCATTTCTGGTCACAATTGAGTATGTTTACTATAGCCTCTCTTTCCTACTGATTACTGCAACTAAAAATCCTGGACAAAATATGTAAAGCAACTACTTGAGGATTCTAACAAATAAACAAAAGCAGGCAGACTTTGAAAGTGAGTTAAAAGTGGAAAAGCAGCCTATACATCAGATTCTTTTTTGTCCTCACTCTTTTTTTTACAAGACTTTGTCCCCAATGGCCTAAGAACCTCCACAAGACATGAGCTCATCCAAGGGCTGTGCATAAAAGGGAAAGCAAAGCATCATACCAAAGCTTTAAAAACTGAACTAAACTAAGATTTAAACTATAGCTCAAGTCTGAGACTTACACCTGAGTGACACATGCATAAGACAGACCTGAAGCAAGACAGCAAAGACTTTGAAAACTGAACTGATTGGAATCAACAATCACAGAAGGTGAGACAAAGCTAGTGGTCTGAATCTAACCAGGTTTATTACATGATAAACTAAGATTAAAAACAATGAAACCATCACCACTATCTAGGATAAAATCCAAAATTCTTCAGTGTAACAAAGAACCATCAAAATAAAGAAACTAAAGATACATATTTAACAAAAATTTGAAAGAGCTGGGGAGCAGAAAACCAATGTGTAATTGAACTAAATCCTTATCTTTCATAAAAGGGAGCTAAAACTGAAAAATCCTGAAATGCAGGTGTCAGAATATTCTCTGAACTTAGGGAGATGCTCACCAGAATTAAAAACAGAAACTGTGAGAAGAGGATGCCCTTGGAGGTGTGACTGGAAATGCACTAGGATTACTCTGTATCCCATACTGTTACATACTCCTACACTAACATGAGCCCCCATTACTTTTAATATTGTGCAGTTTTTATACAAGAGAATTTGGTCTGGACTGTGCCTCTAGTTTGCTTTTCCTCCTTTCAGGATACCACTGAAATGAGAATGAGACTCACAGCCATTTACAATCCCTGGAAACATCTGAAGTAGGAAAAAACATGCCATCAAAAGACCAGAAATCCTGATGAATCTCTACAAGGCAGCAGATATAGGAATGACTGACCAATAAAGAGGAAATTGTAACCCAAAATGTCCCTGAGAGAATCTACAGGGAGGTGAGTGCATGCCCGCACAGGGAGGCTCTGAGAGAGGGTGCCCCTGTCTACTGGGTATGAGCTCTGGGGAAACCACCTGGGACTCACCTGGGCCAGCGTCTGACTATAGCTGGAGCTCTGACATTAACCTCTAACAGCTGTTGAAAAGCAGATTCAGTCAGTCTGAGGTGGCCCCAAGAGTCTGCATGGAGCCCAGGCCATGCCCAAGCTGCTAGTCCATGGATCACAATGAATAGTAGCAGCATTCTAGACAGACTTCTGGGTGGGCCCACTGAGTGGCCACTGTGCCTGGGAGAGAAAAAGAGGAAGACTAACATTTAAAGAGTTTCTGAATTTCCATAAGAGACCCAGAGCAAAAACACAAAAACAAACAAGGAAAAAAGCAGCTCTGCCCAGGACTGAAATACCACTCACAGAAGCCTGCCACCATGGAGCAACGTCCTCGTCTGATTATTTCTTTCTTGAATAAATAGATAATACAAAAGACAAGAGTTGAGTGGGAAGGAAGTACTGATAAGAGGAGGAATTTGAAACTAGGTGGCATCAAGTCAGCTTTGGAAAAGCCTGAGAGAAAATAAGAAACAGAGGCCTATGTTAAGGTTGACATTCACAATGTGAAGGCAGACAAGGACATGTTGGTACCTGGCCTGGTAGAGTTGAAGCTCACTAGGAAAACTTTTTTTTTTTGTTTACACCAACTCCAATAAACCAGGTAGGTTGAAAATAAGACTCCAAGTTTCAGACTTAAAGGCCCCACCATATAGCAAATAAAGAGGAAACATCACACCTGCATCTGCTTCTCTTCTGATGAAAATGCAAATGCCCAAGATAGGGGGAAAGCCCCAAAAGCTTCCATAAAGGGGAGGAGAAGGCAGAAGAAAAGCCTTGGCACTTCTCACTAGCCAACTAGGATAAATAAGGTAGAGATGGATCAAAGGAACAGCTTGGTCACATTGTCAGAAACCTCAACAAGAACAAGGGGGCTGTAGGTGGGGGTATCCTTTGGATATCAGAACCACTACTAGTTTCATCAGACCTGAGTTGTGTTCCCAAGGCTGGGAGCTCTAAGAGCTCTTGGGCACAACCCCTGAGGCCAAACTCTCACTGCCATACAGGGTCCCTCTCCCCTGTCCTGACAGGCTGGCATGTGCTCACCTGGACAGCTCTGGGTTGCGGGTTCTCCATCTGCCTTCCTGGCCTCTACTTGTCCCAACCTGAAGATCACATCTGGTTTGGCTACAAGGTATCCTGAGGAAGTGAAATGACACAGGACTTTGTTATTAATGCTGGAGGCAGTTCAGAACTGAGGGCCTTCCTTGCAGGCTGAAGATGATCTGGCCTTAGTAACTGTCCTATAAGTACAGCTATTTGCTCTTCATGCAAAACATTCACAGAAAAGGTGAGAGCACAAATGTATTGTGCAGGATGCAAATGAAATTTTGAATTCTTGACAGTGAGCCTTAGGCCTGAACTCATTCAGGGCTTCAGACACCCCTGAGTATCCAGTAGCTGAGAGAGATAGAGAGAGAGAGAGAGAGAGAGAGAGAGAGAGACAGAGAGAGACAGAGAGAGACAGAGAGAGACAGAGAGAGAGACAGAGAGAGAGACAGAGAGAGAGACAGAGAGAGACAGAATTTGGGGTATTCTAGTCACATCGTAAAGCAGTCCCTCACCCACAGAGACCAGGTGGCTGTAGTTCTCCAGCATGACGTCTCTGTAGAGGCTCTTCTGAGTGGAGTCCAGTTGCTGCCACTCCTCCAAGGTAAAGTCCATGAACACGTCCCAGAAGGTCAATGATTTCTGCAACAGCACATTCCTCTTTACCCCAGAGTGATGGGCTTGGGGGACGTGACAAACAAGAACTCGCATTTCTAAGTGCCTGAATTCCAATAACCCACCTATTTACACTCTGGATCCCATCCTGTCATACCCACACTTGGTGGTCTTAAATTCAAGAAGACATTTTGCATACACAAGGCCCCAGTAGGCATGGCACCAGTTTTACTCACCCCTGCAGAAAGATATGAGACAAGAAACAGAGTGTGCAGAAGGGCAGTGACCAGCATGTGTCACCAGCAGGAGTTCTGAGAGCAGCCCACATCCTACTCTCACTCCTCCCAAATGATAGCTCAGGTGCTAGGGACTATGACCACACTGATAAGAACAGGGGGCCACCTGGCTTAGAAGTCCTAAGCTGTCAAAATTCAAGATACACATAGCCTTTGACCTAGAATTCTCACCTCTAGAAAGTTATCTTCCAGATCAGACATACTCACATGGACACAAACTGAAATGTACATGGATATTTATTGCTACGTTGTAAATGACATCAATATCCTAAATGTACATCCCTAGCAGAAAGGTAAATATATAATGGTATTTCCAGCCAGTGGAATATCAAGTAGCCTTTTTCATAAATTAGGTACAACGTTGGTTGATTTTGTCCTCCAGAAACATTTGGCAATGTACGTAGAAATCTTTCACTGTCATGACAAAGGGCGTAGGCTGGGAGTGCTGACATTAAGAGGGTAAAGGTCAGCGATATTGCTAAATATCATCCAACGCACACAAAAGCCCTCCACAATTCAGCATTATCTGGCTTAAAATATCAAGAGTGCTGATGTGAGAAAATCTGGCATTGAGCGAATACACAGTGAAATAAAAGGACCAGAATGTGCTCTAATAGATAACAAGAAATAAAAAGAAAACTGGATTCTTATATCAAAATACATAGATATACATATATGATCTCTAGAAGAATGTTTAAAAAATGGAGACAAGGACAGGGTTAGAGGGAGAATTATTTTTCACCTTTTGTTGAACAAAGCTTTTGTTTGAATTTTTTACCATTTGTACAAAATACTTTTAAAAATACCCAATTCGATTTATAAATGCTCTATTCAGAATATGTTTTTAGAATTTTGGCATGTGTGTTCTTAAGTTAAAATGGTCTATAATTTACATTTTTGTAGTATCTTCTTCAAATTTAAAGTTAAGTGGCTTCATAAAATGAATCGATTCCTTTCATCATTCAATAGCCAGGAAAAGTTGAACATAGAAATGATCTGGTCTTTAAAATTCTGTGAAAGTAGTAATTAGTCTAGGATTTGGGAGGGCAAATTTGAAGTGAATAACTTTGTGACTTAAAATTCCAACTTCCAGGTATATTCTCTACAAATACCTGTACTACTGGACAAATAAAGACATAGAAAGTCCAAAAAAAAAAAAAAAAGGAAAGTTATTCAAGAAGCACCATTTATAATAGAAAAAGAAAATTAAAAATCTCAGTATCCATGAATAGAGAAAAGGTTAAAGGATATATCCATAACCATGAACTAGGAAATGAAATAATTTTTATGTACTGATGAGGAACACCACCCAGAATATAATCAGGTGGGACAAGCAAGATAGGTATGGGAGTAGGATGACATTAGTGCAAAACCACACACAACATTACGTATGTATCTATTTTTAGTTAATTAAAGTGATGTAAATGCATTCACACCACATTATTACCTAACTATTAACAGTAGGCATCTCTGAGGAAGAATATGGTACTGGCGGGAGAAGAAATGAAGATATTTTGGCTACTATTTTGTATGCATATTGAAACATTAAACATGAATTTATTTTCATTATTTTAAATATAATGAAAAAACAAAAAGTGAACTGAAAGTGAAGAAATGGAAAAAGCAAGATGAGTCTATTTATTTAAATAATCTTCTCTGAGAAGGAAAAGAAAAAGATGAGGTATATTTTCCAGAAAAAGAAGTAGATGACAAAAGTCTTTGTCTTTTTACTTTTTCTTATTCTTTTTACAAAGGGGAAAGTAAGGATTGGAGAAATCTGAGGTAGATTACAGGTTGATGAGAAAACAGCCAGAGCAGAGGGGATTAACAGATTTTTCAAGATTATAATATTGATTCCCAAACGTTGCCTCAAGCTCACTAGAAATGAAGTAGGGGGTAAATGAGGAACTCACCTGGGACATGGCCATTCTGTTCTGTCCTGGACAAAGGATGGAGATCTACAAAGGCAGAATCAGAAGGGTCAAGATCAATGCATACAGCCATGAGATCATCATCACCAGCCTAACAATAATCACTCTTGCACCCTGGGTAGAATGATCTGGAAACATGGCCTGGTAGTGCCAGCCTGTTTCCTTGAGAAACCACTAAACACATGTGGGTTTTGCACATGAAATTTTTTCCTGCTTCCTGGACAGATGTATAATTTGTGTTTAAAAACATCTACTCAGAAGCTGTTAACCCAACACCTCCTTTCTCTCAATAATTCTATTTCTGGAAATTTATCATAAAAATATAATGATAAATGAGCACAAAGCTGCAAGGATATTAACTGTAGTTGTTTCCACCATTCAAAAATTTAGAAGTGACTAAACTTCCAGCAAAGGGGATTCCATTAAAAATGAAGAAACACAAAATGGGAATACCAAATGGGCTTTAAAAATGCTATGGAATCTTTTCATTTCTTAACATGTTTAAAAGCAGGTTACAAAAAGCAACTGCAATGTGACCCTATTCATTAAGCAGTATGTATATACTACAGAAGAACAGTCTAAAAGAGCCTTTATTAAAATGTTGACAGTTACCTTTGAGTGCTGATTTCACCTTTCCTCTTTTATTTCCATTTTCTCATTTTGACAGTGAATATTATTTCCTAGTCAAATAAAAATTGAAGATTATTATAAATCACTGATTGTCACACTGAGCTCTACAGGTGATAGACCCTGAGCAAAATCTGGAGGACAGGGATGTCTTGCTGTGGTTTGAAAGGAGACAAACCAGGCCTGAGAGGGCTGGGAGGTGAGGAACCCAGCACTGGGAAATTCCAATAGAGCCGGAAACCACTGATCTTGTCCCCTACACCCTCCGCCCTTCACTGGCCCATCACTACCTTGTTCCCACACCATCCCTTCCTTCCTTCCCATAATTTCCATTTGATTGCCATGCTTTTCCTTATTGGGCAGTTTTGAAAAGAAAGGTTCATCAAAAAGCTTTTGTGTGGAGTAACAATTTATTACTGTAGCAATCCCTGTGGCAGCACTGGGACAACAGGGTTCAGCATCTGTAGCTTAACAAGTGATGTTCTCAGATCCAGTTACAGTAGCATCAAAAGGAGGCAGCAGACCTAGATGAAAACATACCTAGAGAGCACTCTGAAATTCCACAAATTGAAAAAACACAAACTAAATTAAAAACGAACAAAAAAAGCCCTATTCTGTACTTTAGGCAGGGTAGAGAAGATTGAACATTTCTGCTAGAGGCAGATGAGACGTTCATACCACGAGATTGACTCAAATCTAAAAGAGTCAATGGCAAAAGAAGGGAGTGTAATACTGTGCACACAGGTGTGTCAGCAGAGGAAAAAGCCCTATGAGGCTGGTAGTGACCCTTCTCAGCCCAATTCTGCTCTTGCAGGCACTATAAGCAGAGCTCCTGCCCTCATGGCAGTGCCTCTCCATCTGTCTGTAATTTTCATCTCTCTTTCAATGGGGGTCCAACTGCCCAATGTCACCCAGTCCTTCATGATAGCTGGAAATTGAGCCAGCATGCCAGCCTTAATCTCTCTTAGCTAGAGGGAGGGGAAGAGGCCACTACAGGTCTAGCTCTTGTAGGATCTGCTGTCCTGTGAGCCTCTGTACTCTGCCCTGAGCATCTGGGTCTGGGCTCTGGGCTGAGGCTTATCCTCCAGTTTCCCTTACAGAAGCTCTCTGATTCCTGAGGAGGCAGGACTAAATGGTTCAAGGACAAACGCATGTCAGCTGGGACCATCACTTCAACACCAGATCTCTGCCTCTGACCTGGGGAACTCACCTCCTTCTGAGACCTCAGACTGGGTCTTCTGTAGACTAAGGAAACCCAGGTCAGATAAGCTGGAATCTGAAGTTGGTGATCAGTGGTCTCAGTTATACACGCTGACCCTGGAAAGACAATGACCATACAGGAAAAGCAATTAGCAATCTCTATGATGGAGTGAAGTTGAGGAAAACCTAAATGTTTTACTGGACATCAGGAGGCACAGTGCCTCATTCTAGTTTTAAGAGGTAACATTTAGTAAGAGCTCAATTTTCACCAGACCAGGAGCTAAGCACTGCCTTACTTGAGAAGAGTCTGGGCTCTGGAACCAAACTGACTGCCTGCTCTGCCACTTTTATTCATTCAATAAAAAAGGTGAGTGCCTACTATGTGCCTGTTCTACTTCGTGTGGGAGATATTCAGTGAAGAAAAATATCAGAATTCCCCCATCTTGCAGAGCTATATTCTAGCAGGGGAGATAGTAAGCAACACACTTGATAAATTAGTTTAGGGTACATTAGAAAAACATAAATGCTAGACGGATAAAAAATGAAAAAAAAATAAAGATTTTTCGATTTAGTCGCTTTGTGACTATGGTTTTAGCTTATAGACTAAAGGTTTCCGAACCTTTCTGTTTCTTCCTCTCTCTATAAAATGAATATAATTCTAGTACCTACTCACAGGGCTATCATGAAGACTAATGTGAAACTCAACCAGTGCCTCGCATTTACTAGGCACTCAGTAAATGGTCTCTCAATCACTAGCTGATGCCCCCACCAGTCCGTCCCCCAACACTCGCCCCCACGGCCCTGTCACTCATCCCTTCGGGGCGCAAACCCATCAGCCCACAGCCCCTTGGCCGCTCCGCATTAAGCTCATCCTCAACTCCGCCTCCCCTTACTTCACTCCCAGAAACCGACAAAGCAGGATGGAGAACAGGCAGCGGCAATCCCAATGCCCTCGGGGTCAGCAGAGCACTTCCGCTCCGTACCCCCGTCACCTGGGAGCCCGAGGTCGCAGCGTGGCGCACGCGCATAAGTGGTGCCTCGCCACCAATGGCCAACATGGTGCCTTTAGGGAACAACGAGTCTGATGTGGTTCCCACTGAGGCGAGACGGAGCGAAAATAACGTGAGATCATTTTCCGCAACGAGTCGCACGAAAGGCTGGGGAGGCATCTCTGGGCTGCGAGAGGCGAGGGGGCTAATCCAACGGTCCCGGTCCCGCCGTTTTCCCGCGCGGTGGGCCCTCCTCGTCGCCGTTCGCCCTGGGGAGTTAACATCCCTCCATCCTCGCAAAACGCTTTCCGTTTTTTCAGTTCCTTGGAATCAGAAGAAAAGTGGGGCCTGCTGCGGTCCACAGCCGCTCATGGGGGCGGGCCTATCCCTCAGAGCCCGGCTCTCCTCTTAGACTCAGGGGTCAGAAGGTAGAGGTCAGGGTCTGTCGGGGAAGAGTCCTGTAATGGAGCCTGGGAGCTGGGCTGGGGGACCAGCAACATGCACCAGTGAGGGAGAAACTCTGATGCCTGATCTGAAATCAATTGAGGAGCTCCAATTTCTGGGATCCTGGGGGTCCTGGGAGAAGTTGGCTTTTGCTCTAGAAAACTCAGCATAAAGTGGCAGAGAGCTGTTCTCTCTGAAAATGCCAGCCTGTGGCACCGTGGACTGCTAAAAAGGCCTGTCGTGCCCTTGAGGTACATTTTCTGTTT